TATCGATCCATATATACATAGCAAAATATAACAGACTGTCAAAAGCAAACACACACATTATGGGGATACATATCATCCTGGTTTTGGACCCCTCATCAGTACGCACCACTGGGGTACTCCCAGATTTTCCAATGGTTTGCTAACTGATGTCAGCTCAAGATGAAATCCTCCAACCAATCAAACAAAATCACTACAAAACCAATACTTGAGAAATAAATTACACAGGTATTTACAATCCCTAATAGCGAGATGAAAAAAGAAGGAAGTAGTATATTTTAATCTCTTCTCGAAATGTAGCCACTCGCCAGTAATAGCATATCTTAGTAAATTCTGTATGATTTATATAAGCTACAAGTGAGTTCTTCGGATAGGCTTATTCGAACATTGTCCAGTTCGATTGACCGAAGGAGGATAAAGAATGCTGGAATCTATTTGCGAATATCCTTTGGATTCAAAGCTTTTAGCTTCCTGAGATTTATCTTACATATGGGATTAAATTCAACAACTTCATAAGTCTCCATATTTGTCACATATTGTCAAGATAAAGTACTACATATGCATGAAAATAGACCCAAACTATGTATTTAAAATATTTTGTAAAACACCCTTCTTTATGGTGGTCCTGTGGTGAGAGCAGGCCGTGAGAAAATATGTACAAGGCTGATTCAACAACCAATCACAGCAGACTTAACGTGGCAAAATATGATTCGCAGATAGGGAACTCTATTTTTCGAGGAATCCCGAAACAACCAATCAGAAGCCTGTGTTTGTCTGATTAACTTCTGAGAAACAACCAATCAGAAGGCTGTGCTTGCTTGAGCTATAATAATGTACAGGAAATATATATAAATACGTGTTGATTTTCGTAATAAAACGATCTGTTACCTGGCCCTTGTCTTCTGTTGTTACAGTCCTACCAGTGTCCTTCCGGCTAATTTCATCCTGTGCCACATTCTCATATATCTTGATGTACTTTTTATATCCTATCGTTCCTTTCTTTTGAAGATCTTTTCTGTATTTCATCACCTTCAACTCTACTCTACAAGAATGTTAACTAATTTTTATCACGTGTGTTAACTGAACAGTCTTTTAGCCTCAACAACTAACTTTATCATCTAAGGAACAGCAAACTTTATGTCAGCAGATTATCTCATGTAGGTGTGTTATGTGGGGATTGATAAACAAGGTAATGAACCTAAAAAATGGATTATACCTGTTTATGTGTTTCAGTATATTAGTTTTATGCTGACAGAAAGCCTTTCATATCTTTCCTAGTTGTATTTGATAGAAGACTATATGTCAGTGAATTTTTACTAAAACGTGCGGGTATTATTCAAAGTACTCTGATACGTTTAAGAGTTTCATTGGAGTCTAACCATTATATTCTATTCAAAACTTCATCCACCAGAACAATGCTGTTTGTCATGTAATGTATATAAGGTTTGATTATACAACGCATTTGGGTTTTAATTTGTTCAATTTATTTTAGCTACTCATGAGTAGATCGTAAATAACAAAAAAGATATTCAAGTTAATTCTAATTTAACCTCTTCACTAAAGGAATCACTGCTTACTGTTCCTAAATGGTACCATTCACTGTATATATAGGAGAACTGTCAAAAGAATTTCTCTGTGACTGCAAAGTGTATCAATAATCATAAGGTGAATCAATGTGCTTGTGTTTTGATTAAAATTAACGTTACATTCTGTGTTAACTTCTGATCAGTGGAAAGGGATGCTTTACATGTATCTGCGGGAGCAGTTACATTGGAAGGATAGAAAGAAGGACATATATACGATTTTCTGAATATGCACCAAAAGGCCTATATATAAAGGGAACAAATGCTTTAAACAGTGGCATCGCCAGGCATCTCCTTGACACGGGTCATGAGGTGGACGTCGAAAGGTAGTTCAAAATTATCAGTAGGCAAAAGAGCTCAATTCTCCTCAAGTTCACTGAAGCGATTTCCATCAAGCGCCTGAAACCTGATTTATGCGTCCAGAAATAAGCGATTATCAGTCTTTCTTTACCCTGGTTACTGGATATTTTCATCTGAATGCGTAATCCTGACAAGTTTCCATTGTGTATGACTATTATTGTTCAGAATAGTGTTTAATATTATATATATAATATTACTGTATGCATATATTGATCGATTGATTTTTGTTTAAAATGAACCCTTTGTAAGTATGTTAAAATTGTTTTTGTAGATATATTTAATAATGTCTTTTGCCTGTAAGCAAATGACGAGAAGACAACGAAATAAAAGATAGTACCAATTTATTTGCTAAAACTGTAGCTCTTGCTTTGTTCAGATGCTTAAACACGTGGTGGGTTCAGGGAGATCACTCCTGATCCGTCAAATACATCTAGTGAAGCTGATATGTCTCAAGCTGAACAAAACTCAAATCTTAAACTCATTTTATTACTTATAATAAAAACAGCAGCATTTCAATTCTCATTCATTAATACCATAGAGAATGAATTAGTTTTCATTTCACTTCGTTCTTTCACGCAAGTATAATAAATTCGGGCTAGAACTATAACAGAAATGCAGAAAATAGTAGGTAACAATGCTTTTCAAGTTCAGAAGATTTCACACAGGTACAGAAATCAATTCGGATTGGATCTTGCCTAAGTCTCAAAGTTTACTTCCAATGAGCACTGAGTAGAAATACCTGACTACTTCATTCATAAATGCCTCATTATCATGATTATCAAAGTCTATGTTCTGTGCTTTTCTTTCATCAGAATATTTCAGGATTGATATAGTAACTATTATTTTCATCAATTTAACCAGGCTGTCACAACTCCTTTTTTTGCAGTCCTAGCAATATGTCCTTTTGAAACGGTATATGACTCTCCATATTTCTAACTTGTTTCTGTTGGAGATTTCAGCACTACCGCCACCCGGTCTCATCATCAAGCGTTCTTCCTCACTGTTGACTGTGCGGACCCCACTGATCACGACTTCTCATTAGAAAGAGCTCCAGTTAACTTCGTCCTGTAGCCAGCATCATACTGATTTTTAAGAATTAGTTTATGGCTATTTGGTTTATTTCAAGTTTCACCACGGATTGGTACCAGTTACAGAATGATTCAAAGCCAACAGAGAGTACTGGATAGCTGTTCCTTCCTAGTGCTTTGGATTCATGGGTAGTAGGCACCCATTATAGAGTTCGAACACAGAGCCCCCCAGCAGAGCCCGACTTAATGGCTGACGAATTCCTACTTGAAACAAATCGAACCCTCAAAAAACTAACTCTTGAAAGTTAATCTGATGCTCACTAGTAACTACCAATGGGAAGAAGTGGACTGGAGCTCTTTCTGGTGAAATGTTGCTACCAGTGGGGTCCATCAGGTTATGAATGAGGACAAATAATCACCGATGACACCGACTGCTGGTGACGCTAAAATCACGGATTGTTAGAAGTTGAAATTCATGGTCTCAGTGGCTGAATGCTGAGAATTCCATTCTGTATCGCAAGTACCATTTTGGAATAAAGTTGTTATTATTATTGTGGTCTACGAGCTAGACTTGTAACTACAAGGTCCTGGGTTCGAACCCCAACAGTGGGTGAGTACTTCTGGTGAGTCACAAGCACTAGGACGAAACAGCTGTTCCATTATGGGTAAAATTAATTTTGATGAAGTCTCACAGTGTTTTACAGTAATATTTACTGGTGACGTTTCGAGCACAATTTATTGCTTATAATCATATAAGAAATATATTAGATGGTTGGAGGCCATCAGCAGGGAACCTTGACTGACCTAGATACATCACACTAGTTACCAGTGAACAATCAAAACATATGAGCAATGTGTATAACTCCCAGGTTTTCCAATGGTTCTCTAACTAATGTCAGCTCATGATGAAATCCTGAAACCAATCAAATCCCTACAAACCAACACTTGAATATGAGCAATATGTTTTCACACCTTCTAGGCTACATACACATCTCTAGCCATTGCCTTCCTCGACAGTCAATGTTGGCTGAAATAGGATCAGACTGGAAAAGAGCCAGTGGTGGCCAAACCCAAACACGGAATCATGAAGTTTCTGACTTTTGGTTCGAGTGAGCCACGTAGAGAATTGTAGGGTTCCTGGTTTGGGTCGTCGGAATTGTAAAAAACCTAATGAAGTCTGGAGACAACTGGTGATATGGCTTGAATTCGTTCTCAGTGACTCAGATGCATTCACACTTTGCGATCTTCCATATCCCATAAGACCCTTTTGTTTCTCCCTCAGATTTCTACTTACTATCGTTTTTCCGAGTCTTTTTTGTCTTCCTTTGTGTTGTGGTACGTGGAGTGTGGCAACTCGAATTGGTGCACGTCTGTGCAAAATTCAATGTTAAAAGCGGTCAGTAAGAAAACTCTATCGAATAGCGATAAGATCAGGAAATCAGAAAAAGCAGGAGACTTGGTAAGGTAGAAAGGCACATATATGTACACGGACCAAGATTTCAACAAACTCATATAAAAGTATATATGCTTAACGTTACAGAGTTGATGACTACAATGGAAATATGCTAGTGGTGAGAGCTGTCTGCTAGCTAAAATCAGTAGACAGCAGTTTACGTATATACTTACGTCCTAAATCTTGGTCATGAGGAAAAAACAAGAGCAAAGACTAACCCAACAACCAATCACAGCAGAGTTTGCGTGGGCGGATATGATTAGCAGATATATCAACGGACTGCCTAAGAAACGGCAACAAAGGGATAACAGAATCACCTTCAACAGGGAAACAACCAATCAGAAGACGCTGCTTCTCTGCTAATAATAACGAATAATAATGTACATAAAAATCTATAAATTTTCTCAATAAACGATCTGTTGCCTGACCTTCATCTTCTGTCATTTCAAAAGGGTTTAAGTTGTTGCCCCATAGATATTTCTCCTACAACAAAGTGTATATTTTAATTAGAGAAACTCGGAAGTGTGATAAATATAATTCCATGATAAACATGTTTGACAGTAGTAAAGGTGATAACATTAGGTATTTAAAAAAAAACAAATATTTATACATTTATTATTCTTTATACTTTACAATTAATTAATCAGTTTCTGAATTATTTATTTAAATATTCCTCCAGTTTTTCAATGTCCGCTTTAATTGATTCATCCTCCGGTTGTAGTTTATGAGCAGCTTTGTATTCAACTAAACCTGTCAGGGAAGAAAACATGCAGTAAAGCAGAAAAACAACAACAGAAAGGTTTGTAAAAACACGGTTATATCCTGTTATTTACTGGTATTTCATAGATTATTATTATTATTACTTACTTACTTACTTACTTTAGTTCCTAGAGGAACATAGGGCTTCACCCACACGTCTCTATTGCGTTCACTTCTCCGCCAACGTTTTAACCTCGCTCCACGTCTGCCCACATGCTTTCATCTCCTCTTCTCTGCATGACCTCCTCCATGCCACCCTCGCACTGACGACCAACTCGCTACTTCCCATTCTAAGTCCACTTGAGAGATAGCCTGGCATGTGATGTCACTTGATGATTTGTTTTTTCAGAGTATGGCTAATCCACCTCCATTTCTTCCCGCTTATTTGTTGAACAATTGGTTCCCAGTTGATTCGTTTCCAGGGATCCTGTTGCTGTTTTTTTCTAACCATGTGATCTTGAGTAGTATTGAGCGAAGACAGCTCTTGATGAAGGTCTGTAGTTTGTTCGAAGTGCCCTTCATGACGCGGCGTGGAGCCAAGTCTCTGGTCCATAAAGTAGCACTGACTTCACATCGGAGTTGAAAATCCGGATCTTATTTTTCCATGCTGAGTGCTGTTGACCTCCACATAGACTTGAGAGTAATGAAAGCTTGCCTTGCTTTCCCGATCCTCGCTTTCATGACATCCTCATTAGTTCCGCCTGTCTGTAGTTGAAACGGTGCTTCTCAGGTAGGTAGATAGGTAGGTAGGTAGATGAGGTAGCTTCTTTCAAATTTCTCCCATTTAAGCTGGCTGATTGTTGTCTGTTGTTGTTGTAGCTGTTGGCCAGGAATCTTCATCACCTACTTCTGTTTTCTTTATATTCACCTGAAGGAAGTCCTATCTTCTGCCAACTTGTTGCTTTCCACTTGCATATCTTCCAGTTTGTGAGAAATCAGACTAATATCATCGGTGAAGTTCAGATCCTCCAAGTTTCTTGTGTGGGTTCATTTTATGCCTGTATTGTTGTTACCTGATATCTGTTGCATTATCCAGTCTACCGCCCACAACCTGGAAAATCATGGAGATACGACACTGTACACGGAAATAAGTAGCATTTCCAAGTGTAGAAAACATCTGTTTTAGAATACTGTATTACAGTGAAATATATTACATGAAGTGTCAGTATGGAAAATAAACTTTTCGAACTTTCATTTTCAATCTGCTACAGGTAAACAGGAATAGCAGTAATAATAATAACATCAACCCAAATGACATTTTAGCTTACAGTGATAAACGATATGTGACCATTTGAAATGTATTTGGAAATAATGGCCAAAACTATCTGATACTGCCTGTAGTGATGACCTGAAGACACACCTTTATACACTCATTGTAAAACCTAACACTTCCTATGAGGTGTTGGTTGACGGTGATAGTGTATAGAAGCGTTCACTCGAAGATGACTGGAACATACTTCAATCATAGAAAATTGATGAATCAAATGACAAAAAGCTAGCTGATTGGGTCGAAGATGAGTACATCGACGATCCATATGATAAGAATATAGGCCCTTGGGACCAACCTAAAATGATGCTTGGTATGGATGTTGAGAAACTAGAAGACTGTAATGATGAAATGGATGTTTGATGAAAAAGTCCCGAGAAAAACAAACCCAGCGCACGGAGCCCGAGATGTATAGTTAACCCAGAATACAAGAATGAGTGGAAACCTGTGCAAATAAATAATACAGAATAAAGGCCGGATCCTGATTTATACGTCCAAAATGACGTTGTCTGCGTTAGTTTTGACCTGTGACAAGTCGACTCAGGGTCTATCTTTACTAATATATTGACTACCGATAGGGAAGAGCTTGCTAAGTAAGAAGCCGAGGAATCCTGTTGAAAACGGTATGATGCCGAAGTAGCCAAAGAACAGGTATCCGAGAAGGATTTAGAAGCTACAAAAAGACATAGTTTCCACGGAAGATACCGAGGAAGAAACTAACAATGTCGATAAGACAGAGGGTGAGACGTGTAGGCACTACAACAAATTGGTAGATATCACAGCTGAAGATAGAATGAAAACCTGGGTTTCGGTAAGGTACAAACTATCAACTTTCATGTCACTAATACAGAAACCTACTGACTGAGCTGCGAAACATTATATTAGTCATTATTATTCCCTTGGGTTCATAGTGTAACACAGGCCTTCATTAGCACATATCCGTTTCATTCGGTTGACTTTAGTCTTCATTAGCTGCTGTACAATTCCCCACAAGCTCTCATCTTCTCCTCACACGATCAACTTCACTTCACCCTCAGACTCACCCCTAAGTCACTGTTTCCTATTCATCTTTCACTTGAGAGATGGCCTGCGTTCCACGCGACGCCATTCGACGGTCTCCATTTTCTCCGGAAAATTGGTTGAGCAATAGGTTCGCGACTGCTTCGTTACCAGAGTTCATTGCTACCAATCCTTTTTGGTAGTTCAGTCATCTGATCTTTGGTATGGTGCTAGCGAAGATAGCTACTGATAAATGTCTGAAGCCGTCAGTTGGAAATGCTTTTCGTGACGCATTCACCAAGTTTCTGATCTATATGGAAGAACTGAGTAATTTAAGATTGATATCGAAAATCCCAAATTTTTTGTCTTTTTTTGTTGAGTGCAAAAAATTTCTAAACTGACATCAGGTGGATGAACGTCTGTCTTTCCTTCCCAATCCTGGCTGGCTCCGACAACTTTATCTGTGACTCTTGTAATTGTTTAGGTAAGTGGAGGAGGTGACTTCTTGGGCTTGCTGTTTCTAGTGTGGTGAGAGCAGGCTGATAGCCAATTGGTCGACATTAATATACGTCAATGTCTAGGTCACTAATATTGGCCGTGAGAAAGTATGAACAAGGCTGATTCAACAACCAATCACAGCAGACTTAAACCTGGGCAAATATGGTTCGCAGATAGATGGCTCCACTTTCCGAGAAACTCGAAAACGGCCAATCAGAAGACTGAATTTGTCGGCTTAACTTCCGGGAAACAACCAATCAGAAGACTGCGCTTGTCTACTTGAATAAGCTATAATAATGTATATGAAATAAATATAAATATGTGCTGATTTCCGTAATAAAATGATCTGTCGCCGGCCCTTGTCTCTGTTGTTACACTAGTTGGTTATGTGCATTACCTCTGTCTTCTCTGTCTTCACTTGAATTCCTGTTATCACTGCCTGCCTATTCAGCCAGTTTGTCAGTCTTTGCCTGTATGTCTTCGAATTTACATGACATTAAAAGCTTAAAAGCATCCAAAAAGTTCATATCTTCTAAATTCTTCCTATTGATCCAATGTATTCCTGTCTTCTTGCTGTCATGTGCAACCTGTTGCATAATCCAATCCACCACAACTACGAATATCATCGGTTATAGGTTGCGGCCTTGTCTTACTCTTATTTTCACTTCAGCGGCTTTGCTGAATTACTCCTGACCACATATACATTTCAGGAATTGACTACGGGATTTTTAACATATACTCAAATCAGAACATACTTGGTTTTCTCAAGAATTTCTATTCTAAAGGAGGTTGAACCAAAGGAATTCATAAAATAAGTGCTCTGTTTCTGTCAGATTGAATAAACTTATGTCCATCTCCCTCGTACATCACAAATTACATGGATAAAATGATCAGTATAGGAGTAGGACATATACGGCAGACTGTAAATAGTACAGAAAGAAATCAATATATACACTTAGTTAATCAACTAACCTTCTTTATACATTTGCAAATTACAAAATGCAGCCCCTCGTCTAATGTGTGCACGTACACGTGATTTTAAATTCTGCATTACCGATGGTACACACAAATCCAGTGCCACTGAACTATCCTCAAGTGCTTTGAAATAATTACGTAACTGAAGGTGACATGCAGCTCGATTTGAATAAGCCCTTTTGTTGTATTGTTTTAAAGTAGTTATACATTAAGGAAATATAAATGCAAAAATGAACAATCAGTAATATGTTTTGTGGATACCACATCAGTCTAACTGATTCTTTTGTGCTTATTATCAAAAGATTTGTCTTCTTGCCCATCAAGTTGGTCGCCCAGTCACCAGCAGTAGTCAGTAGGAAACATCTTGCGCACACCAACGCGTACCCTATTTACTTATGTCGACCACTCAGTACTACTGTGGTGACAGCTGGCTGCGAGCCAGAAATTGTAGACAACAATTGATGTCACTGTTCACGTCTCAAATCAGGGTCATGAGAAAAAACAGTGACAAAGCTTAACCTTGAGGAACTCACCAACCAATCACAGCAAACTTAACGTGTGCAAATACGATTCACAGCTATGTGGCTTAACTTTCTGAGAAACGGTCACAAGCAGTAGAGAATAACCTTCAGAAAAAAAAAACTAATCTCCGCTGACAATAATGTACATAAAAGTCTATAAATATCTCTTGATTTTCTCACTAAACAATCTGTTGCCTGGACCTTGTCTTCTGTCGTTACATTATCACCCCCAAGTACTTCTGGAGTTAAACAAAAAGCCATGCTTTCTCGTTTCAATCTTCACAGCTTTCACATTTACCTCTATTTTAGATTGATGTTGGATGAAGTATGGCTGAAATGGAGCTGCACACTATTAGAAATACTGTTCAAAGTGTCCTATTTAACGTTCTAGCTAGTCCCAAGCAGACTTTTCAAATTTCATCGAATTTATATACCTTTAAGTAACATCACTAGTTGAAATCATTTAAAGAACCACTGAAAACTTGTGTGTGCTGAACTTTCTCCTAACTCTATAGCTCCCTGACGTCAGTGATGAGTTAATTTTGAATTTTTGAAATTACTATTTCTGAATAGAGCTACATATAGACTTTGACAACAAATAATCACATTTTTTGCTTTGTTTAGAGTGTTTTGTAACTGTGTGTACCTCAACAAAGTTCTTCAGGCATACAGTAGGACTCAGACATCAGTTTCCTGGGTTTAGACAAAAAGGAGTTGTTTCTGGGAGTCAAATCCACGATCTTCAAGTTAGTGGGAGAGCGAACGGATGATGGTGGCTTAATACTGTAATTTGTTACAACCTCAAAATCATAAGTTATCGGATTCTGGTTCAGTTACCGAGAGATAATGGTAATCTAACTTTTTAGTTTTGAACTCTATCTGTTACTGGATTGTGTTTAACTTTAACTGGAGTTCAAAACAAAATAATCAGTCAGAGTTCCCTATTCTGGAGATTATTGTTCCATATAATGTAGTTTAGTTCAAAATTTAGCTTTGGATCAATTGTACACAACTATTATTATTATTTCCCTTAATTCCTAGAGGAACATAGGGCTTCACCCGCGCGTCTCCATTGCCTTCGGTTTTCTGCCAGCGTTTTCACCCCGCTCCAAGTCTGCCCACACGCTTTCATCTCCTCTCCTCTGCACGACCTCCTCATGTCACCCTTGGACGACCAACTCGCCTCTTCCCTTTCGGGTTCCACTGGAGCAATGGCTTGTCTAGTGATGTCACTTGGTGGTTTCCTCAGCGTATGGCCAATCCATCTCCATTTCTTCCTGCCTGTTTGTTTCACAATCGGTTCCTGGTTGGTTCGCTCACAGCCAGAGATCCCTATTGCTGATCTTTTCTGACCGGCCATCTGATCTTGAGTATTCAGTGAAGACAACCGTTAATGAAGGTCTGAAGTTTGTTTGAGATGCTCTTTATGACACGCCAAGACTCTGATCCGTATAGTAGCATTGACTTCACATTAAAGTTGAAAATATTCATCCATTAATTGTATACAATTAATGAATGAATATTTACGATGGAAATTACCTGACTACATCTGATTATTTATTTTTCTGCATGATAAACACTTTAGAAATTCGTTTCAAGTTTGATCACGGATTGATATCGATCAGAGAACCATTGAAACCAGAGAGTACTGAACAGCTGTTTCGTCCTAGTGCTCGGCAGTCATCGGTATCACGTACCCATTGGGGTTCGAACCCGATACGTTCACGGTCACAAAAAAAGCATATACCATTCAGCCACTAAGCCAGTCACTAGCGAGTATGAGATTAAATTTCAAGTGGATTCGTTCGTAGAAATTGGCTTCCCTTTACATTTTACATTTGTAAAAATCAATAAACAGGTAAATACACAGTGATAAAGGATACGAATGTAACTTTGGATTTTGTGATATAGCTTCTGTATAAGCGACGACTGCAGCTTCATAATCTCCAGCTTGAAATAATGAACTACAAAGTGTAAAAAAAAATTAAGATACATATAAGAAAAGATAAAGTTAAAGTGAATGTGGGTGCGTCGGTGTTGCAGAGGTAGAAAGCTTGCCAACCACGCCTCACGTGGTCCAGAGTCGTATCCCTGGGTGACGAAATACTCCTAAACCTCGCTTAGCTGGTAATAAGGCTGGTAAAGAGAGAAGGTTGGGCGTGAGGCTAGCAACCCTGTACCATAAAAATAAAGCCACAGCCACCAAAAATTCGAAACTCTAGCTTGAAGCCCTATGTTCCACTCAGAAAGTAAAAGAATAAAACAGATGAGGTGAATGAAGACCGTTAGTTCGCTTCAATATGAAATACTTATTCACGATATAAGGAAACTGAAATGCATAAGTTAGCCAGTGGTTAGAGCCTGACAACTACTTAAGTTATTCTACGATGAACGATATTCTCAAGTAGCCCAAAAGTAAGAGACACCATCCATGCCTCAAAAGATACTTTATATGGACCTTGACTTCAAAGGAGACCTATTTAGTGACATCCTCAGAAGGAGAATTTCCACCTCTTTAGGAAGAACTTTCCCTGCGGCAACATTAAGAGTAGTGTTCTTCAGTCGCCCGCTGATCTGCAGAAGCCCGAAGGACAAGATTCCGCACCTTAACACTTCTATGTGTATATATCAGTTCACCTGTTGCTGTGGAGCCAGGTACATCGGTCGTTCAACACGCATCCTGTCAAAAAGGGTCAAAGAACACTATCCAGCAAGGCTGCAGAAAGCAAGCAATGGCCGTATAAGGAGTGCAATAATCGAACATCTCGTCAACACTGGTCATTCCAACTCAACAAATGTCTCCTACAAAGTAATCTACAAAGTGAAGAACAACCTTCCAAAGACAGTACCATCCCGTCTTCTTTGCATCGCAGAAGCCCTAGCCATTCAGTTGGAAGAACAGGAACTATGCATACAAAAGAAAATTATTCAACCACTTCTACTCTCATGGTAACAACTCCGTTGATTTGACCTTACTTCTGTTTGTATGCCTATTTTTCTAACTTAAAACCCTTGTGTAATTCTGTACATTTTTTTGTTTCCATGTACACCCTGAGCACAACTCTTTCATCAAACTATTTGTATTATTAGGTAACTGTTCTTTAACAATCATTTATGACAACTCATCCCTTTTGTTACTATCCTGTTATATCAACATCCAATTCATCTGAACTTACTAATTGTATTTTCGTTTGACAAATTTAATGTATACACACACACGCACAAAATAACCATATATATTTGCGATTGTACGCCGATGAAAATGAATTCACCGAAAAGAGACTCTTCGCTGAACTACTTCTCTTTTGTCTATTAATGTTCGAATGAGAATTATTCATAAATTAAAAAATTCTCTCCTTCTCACAAGATTTCACTCGTAGCATGATTAGTCTAACAGCTGAGTATCTTACTTCATATCTATGTAAAGCTGACTTGAATTTTCAATACAACACTAATTTTTGAAGCACTCGAAATGCACCAAAAAGTGAAACGACCAAGTTTATAACCATATTCAAAAATGAGAACCAGTTGCCAATATATTGATATAATCGCACTAATATTTTACTCAAAAACTCAATAATTTTGATATGAACTTTCATTTATCTATTCCTGTGATTCAGCATGATAAAGGTGTGTTGTGAAAGCGAATTTTCGACAGAAATAAGAAAACGAGAAGCTATAAAATTTCTCTTATTTCTTTCGTAAGACCAATAAGATGGTGAGTCACCTGGTATACACTGGACACATTGTAAACCTGACTGATAGAATTCACTATTCAACAAACGAAGTAATATACGCATGACATCAGTCACTAATTAGTGTTCAATCAAAGTGTCCATTACAGTCCTACTGGTGGTCAGTCGTGACCCCAAATAGCTCTGTAGTAAAGTTACCCAGTGCACCACTGTGTTACGCAGGTTTGAATCTCAAAAGTTCCTTCCAGGTTACAGACACACCTTGCTGACTGGTGAGTGGCGACAACCATGAAACCTATATCAAGCAAGGCTTCCTTCCCTCCCGACTGTCTCCAACTATCTAATAACAACAATAAGAAGTGAGAAGTAAATTTTGCTCATAAATACTCATTAACAAATTAAATATTCTGATGTTGGATATTAGGATTGAGTGCTTAGTGAACCCAGGTCTCATTTGTTCGCATTTAGTATTAGGATATGTCTGTAATCCGTTGTTTAAGAAATATCTCACACTGAAGGGAACTTTATGCCTCAAAACCGCATCACTCAATAAATGGACAGAAACATAACCGTTAAGATGACTGAGCACTCAAGTATGTTTCATGTAAATAATTGATAATTATTTACTTCTTGCTTTCATTGCCTGCTGTCTTGAACTAAGCCTGCATCGTACACTTTTTGCTATAATTATAATGGTACCTGTTAAAACGTTTTATTCAGGACCATATTTTGAAACAAATTAATCATATTCATGAATGTCATCACCTCACTTTTGTCTTTGTTAGTTATGTTCATTTTCAATTTGGTGAATAAGAATATACAATACACTAGAACTTCAAGAGCTCAACAGAAACCTTAATTTTCTATAGTTTGGTTTGTAAGGGTTAGATATGTTTTTACGAGTTAATCATGGATTCATATCAGTTATAGAACCATTGAAAACCAGGGAGTACTCGACAGCTGTTCTAGTGAGAAGTCGTAACCAGCGAGGTCCAATTAGATGTCACGTGTGTGGATGGACTTCCCACCAACGACAATGGTTGGGGTCACGCTAAATCACGAATTGGTAGAAGTTAGAATTCATGAACCATTGAATTGGGTCCCAGTGGCCGAATGGTATACTAGCTAGCCTTGTAACCGGAAGATCCTCGGTGCGTACTGCCGATGGTTCCCAAACTAGGATGAAACAGTTGTTCAGTACTCCCTGGTTTTCAATGGTTCTCTAACTCATATCAATCCGTGATCAACTCGTAAAAAGAAATCTTAATATTCTCTAGTAACTTGTTTCCAAGCAGCAATCATTGTAAACAGAAAAAGCAAGGAATAGGTCAATTCCTACACTTATCTAAGAGGCATCGTTTTGACTACAGGCAACACCACAGATGAGGATGTCCACTAACCAGTATCTGAAGGGCAAGACAGATATTCGTCACTCTAAAATCAGTTTGGAAACATTCTGCATTCAGTATGAACAACAAACTCTGATTCGGATAATCAACACCGATATTAAGTCAGTCAGTAGCTTCTCCCACATGGACTAGAAACTCGGTGAGAGCATCACAACCGATGGTTGCAGTCTTTCATCAACAGCTGTCCCGTTTTCGGGCTTCATATCGAAGATCAAATGGTTGGAAAGAATTAGCTTCAAGAAACTCCAGGAATGAACAAATATGCAGGGGAAATTAGAGATGGATCGCACAAACGTTGAGGAGACCGGTGGCTACCAACGCTCGAGTGAAAGGTGAATAGAAAACAACGATTTGGTTTTGAGTCCAAGGGTGACAAGGAGGAAGTCGTGTGAGAAGCAGATTCAGGCTTATTGACCATCGTATAGTCAGTTGAAAAATACTGCAGGGAACAGGGAAAAATGGGGTGTTATGTTGAAGCCCTAGGTTCTACTCCGAACCCAAGGGAACAACACTAATAATTTTTATGCAACCAGTGGTCAGTTCATGAAGACTCAAAAGACTGTTTAATTGAAAGTATATAAGTACTCAATGAACGCTGGATTACAGGAAGGAATCCAGGTGGTAGGTATTTCAACTGTTATTAGTAAAACACATATTAATTTATTAGTAAATTCAAAGTTTCACAGAAATTAAGACTTACTCTCCTTTTTTACGTAACCAAATAGGGTCCAGTTCATTTTTGGATAGATCATCGGGTACAACTCGATCTAATAGTTTCCTTCTATATTCAGCTTGTTTATTTAACCACTAAATTAGAAAAGGGGTAAAGAAGTGTGTTCTTCTAAATACTGTCCAAGTAATAAGTAATGCCTAGCAGCACCAACACTGCAATTTATTGAAGCCAAATTTCGAAAGAACCTGTTTCAAACTATTGTTCGCTCTCTATAAATACATAAACCTTTATTTCATATTAATTTGTTTATTAGATGTATGACACAGTGAAACAGTGTTACTTACTGGATAACACAATTTCGAACACAATTTATTCCTGATATTTATATCATCAGCTGAAAATGCACATCCTCGAAATTCCACTTCTATTTCTTCATATTCATCATAGAAGTAGTAGAACTTTCCAGATGTCCAGCTGAACAGATGTTGAATCATTCCTACTGCACGTATTTTCAGCTGATTCTATGAATAAAGCTTAAGTTATCAAGCTCACTCTCCACCAAGTAATATTTAATTTTAGAACTGTCAGCTTATCTCATCCTATTGTATAGTCGTGTGCAATTGCATGCAGTCCTATAGATGAATTATTCTCCATATTTCTTATCTTATAAGGATCAACTAATCTAGATTTTGTTGTGTTTTTGTGCTCTGCTAGTCTGACTGCCCCTGTTCTGTTACTTTGACCTATGCATTTGACCTGGCCATTATTGCTGGCAAGGTATTAGATAAACTAAATTGTTTTGTTTTAAAGGCTCCACTGGTGGGATCCTTTAACGGACAAAGCTTGTTTCTAATTGAGTTTGTGGAGTGGAATGCCACTTTTATTCCTGCCTTGTTAAGAATTCTGCGTAAGGTTTCCGAGGTTCCTTCTTTGTATGGAAGTACTACTGGTGATTTAAATCCTTTAGTGTTGTTGTTACCATCATTCTATGCATGTTTGTCATGCGTGTCGTCATTATTATTATTCATTTAAAATTTACATTTTTGTACATACTTTCTCATTAGTTTAGCAGGGTAATTATTAAGTGTTAAAGCTTCTCTTAAATGCCTTACTTCCTGTCTTAGATTTTCTTTGATACTACTTAGTTTTTGTGCTGTATTACTTAAACATTTCCCATTTCACTAATCCTATTCTCGATGACATGGGGTGAGATGAACCGAAATGCGAATATTGGTTTGAATGTGTGGGTTTCCTGTAAAAACTTGTGCTTTTAATTTCCCATCCTCTTCCTTTTTTAAGCAACAATCTAAAATTTGAAGCTGCTCTTCCTGACTTTCCAGTTCATAAGTGAATTTGGTTTGTTGGAAAAATCCATTGACATCCTGTGTTACAAGTATGGTGAACGTGTTATCTACATACCTCCACTGCACTATGCGTGTGGGGCCAAACATTTCAATCACTAAATTTCCCCACCTATCCATGAATATATCAGCCACTATCGTGGATAGTGACGACCAAATGGAGACTATCCCCGTTTGTCTACATATTTTCCCTGGAATTTAAACACTGTAAATAAAACAATTTAGTTTATTTAATACCCTGAAATGATTGTCAGGTCATATACATAAATAAAAGTAATAGGACAGGGTCAGTCAGACTAGCGGAGCACAAAAACACGACCAAATCTAGACTGGTTGACCCGAATAAGGTAAGAAATCTAGAGAATAGTTCATCTATGGCACTACATGCAACTGCACACGACTATACAACAGGAAGGGATAAGATGACAGGTCTAAAATCTAATATGAAATGATGGAGGGTGGGTGGACTTGATAATTAAAGCCTTATTTATCGAATCAACTAACAATGCGTGCAATATGAATGAATCAATATCTGTTCAGCTGGACATCTGGAAAATTCTACTACTTCTATGATGAATATGAATGGATAAGTTAAACCATTGAACTGGAGTTTCGAAGTTGTGTGTTTTCAGCTGATGAAATAAGTGTGAAGAATAAACTGTGTTCGAAACCGTGTTATCCAGTAAATAAAGCTTTTTCAGTGTGTGGTACATCTAATAAACAAACTAATATAACATTACACGCTGTTATAATGCCCAAGTTTTACACATATAGAAAAATCATCTTTGTTACCATATAACTACACAGCCTCACTACGTAATAACTAGTTCTGACGGTAAAGGATCTGTGCGTCTTCAAGGTCTTTTACTATCGTTGTCACTGTTGCAGCTTGGGTTGCTTTCGTTGAACTAACGTATTAATAGTCTGAATGCAGTACTTGAGATTCTATGCAGGATAAATAAGTGTGCTAATGTAATCATAAACGTCAGTCCCTTGGCCTGGTTGGAATATGTATCACACCTCAAATACTTAGAACCAAGAGTGATGATTCCGTATACTTTTTGTTCAATGTAAAAAGATGACACATTGTGTATATCTTTTGTTTTAGTCGACATCTTCGTTTTAATGATAACCTTTCCACTAGATTTGAAATATACACACGTTTTTGTCACTGCTTTGTGTTCTCGCTCTCCATAACTATACATTTGTCGTACTAATTCTTGGTTGCATACTTTTTAATCTACAGGAATCTCTCATCCTCATCCCCAGAGTATTCAATAACCCCTACTCAACATCTAAAAGGGAGAAAACACCATAGAAGCATTCACAGTGAACTATGTTTCCGCATTATATCGTTTAAATTGTGAAAACCCACTTAATCTTATTTACAAATGACTATACTTTCCTATAACTCACAGTGGCTACTGCAATATACTGTTTAAATATCCTTATTAATTTGGACTTTTATTTTTGATATTTTGTATGATTCCTAGGTATAGTGTCTAGTCCGACACATGCATACTCAAAAGACTGCCTGTATTACAATTTAGATTCTCCGTTTATCACGTATTAATAAACACTACATGATACTGACAGTAGCACTGTGGTAAAATGCTCGCCAACCACGCTGGATAATACAAGCCTAATATATGCTTTCAAGGGTTGATTTTTAAGGATTTGATTTGTTTTCCGAATTCGCCCGTGTATTGATACCAGTTAGAGAACCATTAGAATACCATCAGGGGATTATTCAACTGCTGTTTCATCCTAGTTTAAAAATTATTGTCAGTATGCACCCACCGCCAAAGTTTCGAATCTAGGACCTACCGGTTACAAGGCCAACTCGTATACCATTAAGCCACTGAGACCCCATTCAATGGCCCATGAGTTCTAACTCCTACCAATTCATGGGCCATAGATTCGGGTTCCTAGTGGGCTTATACTGTTGATGATTCCCAAACTGTGATGAAACAGCAGTCGAATAATCCCCTGGTGGTTTACCAATGGTTCTCTGACTGATATTAATCAGTGGTTAAATAATAATAATAATAATGTGGGTAGACGAATTATTCGTGCGTCGATGGCACAGCGGTAGAATGCTCGCCAACCACACATGTGGTCCGGAATTCGATTCCCGGCCGACGCACCCATTTACCTCGCTAAGCCAGTAATAAGGTTGCTAAAGAGGGAAGGTTAGGCGTAGAAATAAACACTCCTGCTACCTAAACATCAAGCCTCTAGCTTAAAGCCTTATGTTCCACTGGGGATGTGAAGGAATAAAAAACAACATGACATGGATAAAGTGACCAAGGAATATAAATGTTTCACCCGAAATAAACATTCTGTATAACTAAGTTGAAATGTAAATTTAAACCTACCTCCTCTTCAGCTTGTTTATTTGATTCTCTTTCAGGTGTAGGAAATACTCTCGGAGTAAACTGTACTTCAATTGTCGATGAAGTCCTCACAGGTAAATCAATTGATTTTTCAGTAAAAATAGATTTATTTGGAATATTGTTAACTGCTTTCACTAAATGTACATTTTTGTTTAGTAGGGAAAAAAATACAAATGACTAACTTTTGTCCTCTTTGGGAATATTTTTGGTCATGTGTTCTTTAACAAATCGTCGAGCTTCTTTAATTTTATTTTGAAGCTATATAGAGTAAACAAATAACCGTAATAGCTGTTTTGTTGATATAATAATTGCATAAATATAATTAGTGTATAGTGACTAGCAGTGGTATCCAGGACACGCGTTTCGTCCTATTCGGGACTTGTCCTCTGGATGTACCTGCATTCCCTAGATGACCAGTCCCAAATAGGACGAAACGTGCATCCTGGATACCACTGCTAGTCACCATCCATCAATTAATTTCTAATTAAATGCCCAGACATTGTCGAACCATATTCACAAGAAGCCTACATGTCAACCTGAAATTGAGCATTTCGGTCCAATCAATCGACGGGAAAATCCAAAAATATTTAATTAAATTGCATAAATAATTAAAATAAATATATTCCAACTTCTGCCAATTTATGACATAGCGCGACCACTTCGCAATGTCCTACTTCGATGAATAATTGTCTTCACCTTCAACCTGCTGTACCCTACTGGTCAGGGCTTCCCACTAGAACCCCAGGTAACTTCCTGGGCTGAATAGAGCCAGTCGCTAGTGAACATCATATTACTTTTCAAGTATTGGTTTTGTAGGAATTTTGTTTGAATGGTTGGAGGATTTCATCATGAGTTGACATCAGTTAGATGCTCACTGATGCCCACTAGCGACTGGCTCTATTCAGCCCAGACAGTTACCTGGGGATCTAGTGGGAAGCCGTGACCAATAAGGTACAGCAGGTTAAAGATGAGGCAGTAACTCATCGAAGAAGACATTGCGAAGTGATAGTGCTATGTCATGAATTGGCAGGAGTTAGAATTCATGGGCTGTCCATTGGATCGAGTCCCAGTAGCTGATGAATGGACTACGAGCTCGCCAGCCTTGTAACCAGAAGGTCCTGAGTTCAAACCCTGTCAGTGAGTGCATACGGATGAAGCAGAGTCACCGACTAGGCTGACGAAACAGCTGTCCAGTACTCCCAGCTTGATTTCCACTGGTTATCCAAGTGATGTCATCTCATGATGAAATCCTCCAACCAATCAAACAAAAACCCCTACAAAAATCAATACTTGAAAATCTATTCGACACACATACTGAATTTGTTTTTGATTGAACGTGAGGTTGAAATCGCAGAGAGAAGAGGAGTTCCTTCAAGTTGAGAGATACACCTTGCTGACTAGTGAGAGGGAACAACCAAGAAACTTAGGTCGAAGGCCTTCTTCTGATCACCTTTAACTATCTAATACTACATTTATTATGCAAAAGTGATGGTTGAGTAAAAGCCAATGGCGTCCAAGGACAGTGAATTATACATTCCTTCTAGGGTATAAAATCTATTGTAATATTGACGGGAGGTTTTACACTTTAAAGTTGACCTGTAACAAACGACCAAGGATAGAAAAACAATAAGATGGAAGGAAAACCAAACCTAAATTTCGTATTATCGCTATTTATATTAAAAACTACGCATTTTCTGCTCAATACCCACTGACTTATTAATACTATTACTACCACAGAAAACATTTTCATATATTGAAACTATGATAGATTGAATTACTTAATACAAAATAGCCAAACAAATATATTCTGGAGGAATCGATTTCAAAGGAGACTAATTCCCAGTTCAATTAATATTCCGCTTTATATCCTGTTCCCTGAAGAAAACCCACGACACTGGGAAGGATCTCAAATGCTTACCAGGTTGAAATTTCAGTATAGAAGTAGAAATCTTTATAACTGTGAGTTAGCGGAAAGTTTATGAGGTTGTTTCATTTTCCCAGTCCTATGTTACCCACCTTATTAAAACTAATACACAAAGCTACATAGTCAGCAGACTGATGTTTTGCTTCTACCGTTCATCGGTAAGATTTAGTTTTGTAAGGATTAGATTTGCTTCAAGTTTGACGACAGGTTGATATTCGTTAGAGAACCAGAATTAAGTACTGTACAGCTGTTTTGCCCTAGCGCTTGGGACTGATCAGTAGTACTCACCCATTGGGTTTCGAACCCAGCAACTGCCTGTTTCAAGGCTAGTTCGTAAACCGATCAGCCACTAAGATCCGACTCAACAGCTCATGAATTCTAACTTCTACCGATTAGTGATTAATACAGTGTGACCGCCAGCCAGTGTCATCGACGAGTATTTTTCCTCACTCCTGACCTGGTCAGCCCAAATGCTCACAACTCCTCAATGTAACTACAGTCAACTTCTTCCTGTAACCAGTCACTAGCCAGTTCACACAATCGACAACAGCAATGCATTTCACAACTTAAGAAATAACCATTAAAACTGATAACAGTATTTAAATTTATCACCACTCAAAGACTTGAAAAGATCAAGTAGTACTGTGGTGAGAGCTGTCTGCTAGCCAAAATCGGTAGACAGCAATTTACGTCAATGATTACGTCCCGAATCTAGGTCGCGAGAAAAAAACAAGAACAAAGACTAAGTCAACAACCAATCACAGACCACTTTGCGTGGGCGGATATGATTCGCAGATATATGGTCTGACCTTCAAAGAAATGGCCACGAAGAGGTGACAGAATAACTTACGGCGAGAAAACAACCAATCAGAAGACGCTGTTTCTCTGCTACTAACAACGAACGATAATGTACATAAAAATATATAAATATCTCTTGATTTCCTCGATAAACGATCTGTTGCCTGGCTCCTGTCTTCTGTTGTTACAGTCCTAATAATTCTACTCTGTGATGAGAACTATCGTTTAGCAGTGAATCAAATAAGATTTTTTTCCTTTCGGCTACTAGTTTCTTTTTTTGTTTTACTTACCTCAATTTTCTCCTCTTCAGATTCTTTATGAGCATTCATAAAATCTTCGAGTGCTTGTTTCCCTGCTTCCTCTTTTTCTATCTTAATCTGCTGACGCGTTAAATCCTCCAACTAATTTTTAAAAAAAGTATATGAGATTGAAAAAGTTCAATGCTAAGAGTGAAATACCTTCATAATTTGTTCCAGAGCATATTTTTCACCCTTCTTATTCATCTCCTTATTCGCCTTAATACGATTTCTTTCACGCTCTTGATATTCCACGACAGCATCCTGTTTGATTTGTGTTAAACGCTTTTTATCTTCTATAGAAATAAATTTGTTTGGTATAAAAATTGTGATAGTCCTTTATTTATAAAGGGGGTGGGGGGAGGAAACAATAGATGAGTAAATATTTTTTTCTGAGAAATCAATACACATACAATAATTACTCATATCATCTGATATCAGTTGATTCCATAATTCTGCGTTAGTTTTCCTCAGATTAAATTGAGCTGTACCATCAACTAACTTTAAAGTACTCTCTTCTACTTTGATTGGTTTGTATAGTACACATTCAAAGATGTAGGGTTTAATGACGATCTGGAAAAGTTTAAAAACATTACATTTGAAAATGATTTATGGTATGTATATATTACAAAAAATAATTTGAATAAACTTCTGTAAACTATTGTAAAGATAATAATAATAATAATGATTTGCTTTATTCCAAAAACAGTACTTGTGATACAGAATGTAATTTTCAGCATTAATCACAATATTTAAAGCAATTGGTTCCCTTTATGAATTTCGACAAAGCAATAAGAAGACGTAGTTTATCTGAAACGTATAATGTATTGGCGCAACACATTTCGGACATTCTGATCACACACGTACTTGTCATACGCAGTTTTTATATAAGGCAAGAAAGCATGAATAATTACAATACAGGTCAGATTGTGTACAGGTCAAGGTCACAAAATAATGGGTAGGGAGACGCAAAAGGTGTGGGTAAGAAAGATAAAAGGAGGAAAAAAGGTAAAGAAAGGGTTTGAAAATATTATGAAGTAAAATTGGTCCTTGGTTCTAAGTTGGATTACCAAGGCAGGTTTAAGGTGATAACAAATAACTTTTGGACGCATAAGACAGGTTTAAGTCTTTTAATGGCTAAGGCTTCAATGAATTTAAGTATGTGACCCAACCTTGTCTTATATATCGGCTTAAAGGCATTTGAAAGACACTTTTGAGTTAACTGATTGTTTTGATAACGTTAATATAAAAGACAAAACCATGTTCTCCCTAGATGTCGAATCTTTATTTACAAATGTACCTCTTTTACAGACGGTTGACATTTTATGTGACTTCATTTCTGACAACGATTTCTTATTACCAGTATCTACATCTTACTTAAAAGAGTTACTGCTTCTCTGTACTAAAAATGTTAAGTTTACATTCGAGGGCGAGCATTATCGCCAGATCGATGGTGTTGCTATGGGAAGCCCCCTAGGTCCATTGTTAGCTGACATATATATGTCGCATGTTGAGAACCTAGTGGAGAAAGAAATTGGAAAAGTGTATTTCTATAAAAGATATGTAGATGACATAATTGTCATTTGTGATCAACCGATCGACGCCATAGAAATCCTAAACCAGGTCAACAGAGCACAAAATAGTATATCGCTAACTTATGTTAAAGAGAATAATGGATGCCTGCCATTTTTAGATGTACTCATAACCCGCAGAGAAGATGGGTCAATAAAACGATCTGTCTACAGGAAGTCAACATGGACTGGACAGTATCTAAATTACTATAGTTTCTGTCCACTACAGTATAAAAAGGCGTTGGTTAAGTGTTTGTTCAAGCGCGTTCACCGTATATGTACCGCCGATACAATTGAAGAAGAAAGACAACATCTCACTGAAATATTGTTAGATAACAATTACCCACTGAGATTTATTAGACGTTATGGAAGTGTCAACCACACAGCTTTACCAATCCAATCAGTTCCCAAAAAGGATGTTTACATATCCTTGCCGTTCAGAGGTGATCAACAAAGTCTAGTCACTAGACAAAGACTAAAGGCCGCAATTAATAGAACCTATTATGCAGCTAAACTTATCTTCATAGAGAAAACGAAAACTATGCTGTCCTGTAAACCCTCACATTATCCGAACGATAGTGTCACATCCCACTGTGTTTATCAATTTACATGTATGTGTGGAGACACGTACATAGGGAGGACCCATCGGTCTCTGCATGTTAGGGCTACAGAACACATTCCAAAGTGGCTGCAACAACAAATGAAATCGCCAGATACAATTGACCCGGGAAATAGATGTCCAACATCATCTATAGCGAAGCATATTATAGAGACGGGTCATAAGGTTGATTTTAATAATGCCTTTAAGCCGATATATAAGACAAGGTTGGGTCACATACTTAAATTCATTGAAGCCTTAGCCATTAAAAGACTTAAACCTGTCTTATGCGTCCAAAAGTTATTTGTTATCACCTTAAACCTGCCTTGGTAATCCAACTTAGAACCAAGGACCAATTTTACTTCATAATATTTTCAAACCTTTTCTTTGCCTTTTTTCCTCCCTTTATCTTTCTTACCCACACCTTTTGCGTCTCCCTACCCATTATTTTGTGACCTTGACCTGTACACAATCTGACCTGTATTGTAATTATTCATGCTTTCTTGCCTTATATAAAAACTGTGTATGACAAGTACGTGTGTGATCAGAATGTCCGAAATGTGTTGCGCCAATACATTATACGTTTCAGATAAACTACGTCTTCTTATTGCTTTGTCGAAAATCACAATATTGCATCTAATTGCCTCAAATTATAAATAAAATTTAATCACGCAGAAAATTTTTCCACATTTACAATAGGGGTAATGTCAAAAACATGTGGCAGATAAAATGGAAATAATAATAATAATAATACAAGTGAAAATTGCCGTGGGCTTGTTTCACACAGTATTGTCGATGTGGTATAGAAGTCCTAGCATGTTTAAAAATATTGAATATATAATGTTCTCTTTACATGATATGGTGAGGGGAAAAACGAAGATTACAACAGTCATGGAGATAAGTCAGTGTGTGGAGTACGTAACAATATGATTGTACACTTTTTGGTTATTTGTAGAAATTAGAGATATTGTACATGAGTTTTGTTTAAAACGCTTCTTGTCAAAATATATATAACTTCCGTGTACAAATGAAAATACACTTTGTTGTTGGAGACTTCGCCTTCTCTCTGGTTATTTCTGCTTACTTGTTCAACTCACACCGTGTTGTATACTTCCGATTTATTGTAGGAGTCTACTACTCTCAACCGAAGAAGATTCTACAACCGGAACACAGCAGCTACAGCAGACGCAACCCAAACAATTAACGTACCCGTGGATTATATAAATAATTTGTAGCAGAGGACTTAGACTTTATAGCCAAGTAATCCTTTGTGTTGATATAACTCGTCACTGCATTTTTGGTAATATATTGTTATTTAACATTCCATTGACTTGGATTATTATTCTCATATTTGTAATATTAGTGAACTCTATTATTAGTCCCCTACAAATTAAATGGTGAGCCCGTATAGGACACGGATTATTTTGATATATTCATATTCTTATTTTTGCCATTTTGTATATTCATTGTGATTTCGTGTGTGGTTTTATATTTGTATCCTATTTTGCACCAACAACCTCATATTTATAATGTCGTCACCTCAGTCCGGTACATCAACCGAGCAGACAACTAATAGCGAGACAAATGCCACAATAAATGCCACCACTGATTTCCGTTTACCGCAATACGGTTTCGCAGAACCCAGGATTTGGTTTGCAGTAATTCAGCCGTTGCTAGAAGCACGGGGCATTAAGTCCCAGCTAGCCAAATATGGTGTAGTGCTGGCAGAACGCCCTCAGTCAGTATTGACAGAAATCAGCAACTTCATCGAAAATCCCCTGACGGAAAACCAATTTGATAAACTTAAAGCCCTCCTCATACAACGCACCAGTTTGTCAGATGAGAAAAGAATCCAACAATTACTCACGGGCTGTGAACTAGGCCCGCGTAAACCATCCCAGCTCCTCAGGCACATGCGCCAGTTAATCGGACACCATAAAGTAGACGAGGTAGTGCTGAAACAGATGTGGTTGCAGCGCTTACCTAGAAATGTCCAGCAAATTTTAATCATCTCAGGAAAGTCGTATGACTTAGACCCACTAAGTGACATGGCAGATAGTATTATGGATGTTTTATCTGATAACACCATAAGTCACATAGCATCTGATAGTGCCACACCGTGTCATTCCACACTCATGGCAGACACACCGATACTCGCCGCCATTGCAGACATAGCGGCAAGGATTGACAAGTTGTAAACTAATAGGTCTGATCGACGAGTCCGGAGACGGAGCTCACAAAGAAGGTCACCATCACGACGACGATCTCTCTCACGACAGCGTTTTCACACGTCTTCTCGGGACAGTAATATATGCTGGTATCACTGGAAGTTTGGATGTCATGCCCTGAAATGTGTAAAACCGTGCAGCTTTAAAGAAGTCAAGCAGGCTCAGGGAAAGGTCTCAGCCAGACAGTGATGGCGACAGCTGTTACTGGCAAGCAAACAAGTCGTCTTTTCTATATGAAGGACAAAACTTCAGGCACGTCTTTGAGCTCTAAGGAAGAGTTTCTGCGGCAGGTTTGGAGTTCAACGTCATCTCTTTGTAATTGAGCCATACGGTCAAGACTGATGTCTACCGAAGTTTGAAGCTGGTTTATGTTACTTCTTGAAAGAGAATCAGCTACCATGTTCGCATCCCTTTTGATGTACTGAATGTCGGTTGAAAATTGGGAGGTATAGTCCAACTGTCTGGCTTCTCTAGGGGAGTGTTTATCGAGTGTAGTAGTGAAAGCATAACACAGGGGCTTATGGTCAGTAAAAATAGTGAAATGCCGTCCCTGTAGTAAGTAACTGAAATGCTTGACTGCAAGATATATGGCCAACAATTCTCTCCCAAAAGTGCTGTAACGTGTCTGAGCCGGTTCCAACTTCTTAGAAAAGAATGCAAGTGGGGTGACTTCATCCTTCATCTTCTGTTGTAATACTGCCCCCACAGCTACTTGGGAGGCATCTGTGCACAAAATAAGCGATGCTTCGGGGTTGATATGGGATAGCATAGTGACTTTGGATAAGGCGTCTTTTACGTTGCAAAAAGATTCGTGTGCTTGGGCTGACCACTGAAACTTTTTAGGATCATTTTTAAGGAGGTCGGTTAACGGCTGGACGATGGAGGCACACGAAGGAATGAAACGCCGATAGAAATTAAACATCCCCAAAAGACGTCTGACCTTCTTGAGTGAATCTGGTTCGGGGAAATTTTTGATGGACTCTATCTTTTCCTGATACCATTCGCGGTTATGTGGTGTCCCAGAAACTGTATAGAGGAAACACCGAATATGAACTTTTTGGGGTTAATGACGACTCTATATTGCCCAAGTCGCTGAAATAAGATGGTGAGGTGATCAGTATGTTCTTCAGGCGACGAGCTAGCAATCAAAATGTCATCGATGTATACAAATACAAAATCCAAACCTTGTGTGACCTGATCCATGAAACGTTGGAAGGATTGTGCGGCGTTCTTTAGACCAAATGGCATCCGGAGAAATTCAAACAAACCGAAAGGTGTGATGATGGCCGTTTTATCGATATCCTCTTGGGCAACTGGTATTTGGTGATAGGCCCTGACCAAGTCTACTTTAGAAAAAATGGTTTTTCCATGTAATGTCAGGGAGAAATCATGAAGATGGGGAATCGCGTAACGGTCGGGAACTGTGGCATTTTTTAAATGTCGGTAATCCCCACATGGCCTCCAATCATCACCAGCTTTAGGCACCATGTGTAAGGGCGAAGACCAAGGACTATTAGAGGGTCTGATGATGCCGAGCTGCATCATGTGTTCAAATTCTGCCTTGGCTGTTGCTAATTTGTCCTGGGGTAATCTACGAGGACGAGCATGAACTGGTTGCAATTATGAGAGTAAAACAAAGAAGTAACAGGACCATAAATATAACAGAAATAATAAAAGTAAAAATTGAAGGTACATAAGGATGGATGGACGAAATTGTTTATTTACTAGATGAAAAAAGGTTAGTTAGTTCTTGCCTGACGCTATTTTCATCACATAAAATACGTCCCAAGTATGGTATCATAGAATTTCCATACTAAGACGTGCGAGCATACAGTTTTCTGAAGTTACTTCTTGTTCTACCTGAGGAGGTGCAAGGTGAAAGCTGAGGGTAAAGTGGATGCTCCAAGTCAGACAAAATCCCTCTAGCAAACTTATTGCACGAAGTCAAGTGCCTATCAACAAAGATGTGTCTAACTAATAAGGAGAACTAGTCTCTGGTTTATACAAAAAAACTTCGAGGATGTGGATTTCACCGATGAAATATGCCTGATTTCCCACAAACTGAAAGATATGCAAATGAAAAGCAACAAATCAGCAGAAGAAGCATCCAGGAAAGATAGGACATCCTCCAGGTGAACACAGAGAAAAAAGAGATGAAGATTCCTGCCCACCAACAACAACAGCCACAGCAACAACAACAGACAACAATCAGCCAGCATAAATGGGAGAAATTTGAAAGAAGCAAACTCCTTCACTCATCTACGTACCTGGAAAGCCTCGTTTCAACTACAAGCGGAGGAAAATAATGGGGATATCACGAAAGCGAGGATTGGTAAAGCAAGACAAGCTTTCATTACTCTCAAGTCTGCGTGGAGATCAACAGCACTCAGGATGAAAAATAAGATCCCGATTTTCAACCTTAATATGAAGTCAGTGCTGGTATACAGATCAGAGACTTGGAGCGTCATGAAGAGCACTTCGAACAAACTACAGACCGTCATCAACAACTGTCTTCGCTCAATACTTCTCTCAAGATCAGATGGTCGGCCAGAAAAGATCAGTAACAGGGAGGGATCTCTGGCAACGAGCAAACTAACCCAGCAGGAACCGATTGTGCAACAAATATGCAGGAAGAAATGGAGTTAGGTGGATTGGCCATACTCTGAAAAAACCATCAAGTGACATCTCACGCCAGACTATCACTTAAGTGGAACCCGAATTGGAAGTGGCGAGTTGGTCGTCAGTGGGAAGGTGACATGGAGGAGGTCATGTGAAGAGGTGATGAAAGCATGTAGGCAGATGTGGAGCGAGGTTAAAACGTTGGCAGAGAACCGAACGCAGTGGAGACGTACGGCTGAAGTCCCATGTTCCTCTAGGAACTAAAGGAGACAATAATAATTGTTATCTGATAATAAAATGATTAGCTCCTTTGATCCAAAATTACGAGGACTTTTCATAATAAACTTTTTTAATGTGATATTTACAAATATGATCTTAGTTTACTACACAGTGGTTTGGCTGCACTAATTAATTTTCTCTATGAAACATTTATAAACTACGATCCAATCTTTATCTGTTTTTAATTCAACTTTGATTTTTCCGCTGACTGATTGGACCGATATGTTTGGCCTCTTTTGAATTGCTAACTGTTAGTGTCAAAGCTTCGGCGATGTTTGAGGATTAACTTGGGTAACATCGCGCGCAATCCGGGTCATCGCTGGAGTGAAACTCGAATGGGAGATGACGAGTCAGGCATCCCAGGGTGACATGGAAGTGATAAGAGCCTATGGGAAATTGTGGAGCTAGCTAAAGAGGACTGTAGGGAACAGGATAAAATGGAGATGGTCTGTTAAAGACCTATGCTTCACTCATGAACCAGGGGAATAATAATGATGATAATAATACGGTTGCACATCAAACCTGCTGCTAATTACTGACTCGTACAAAATCCAGTCAATAAACAGTAAATGCAAATTCCCAAAAGTTACTTATTGTCTAAAGCCAGTTCGTATTCCGTCACGTTTGTAAAACAAAAGCGTACACGTTAACATCACGTCTCGTCCAAGCTTCGTAAGTTTTATTTGTGAGGATCGGACAAACATATATTAGCTAAAGAGAATTTCACTAGAAGAAAATAAGGTCTACTTGGGCAAAATATCATATCAAAGCACAAAAGCTTAGACGGTGCTTTTGAATTTAGATTACCTCACTGAATTCAACTAAACAATGAAAAATAGCTGATAGAAACAACTGCATAATTAGGAAGCAATCTCAGTTAAATCTGTATGTTCGGACTTTGATTCTAACACAACTAAAATGTTTTACTTATTTGACTCGCTAAGTGCTGAAACCCCTTTTTCAGACTGTATTAACAATGAACATCATCTCTAACACTAGCTATGCAAAGGAAATAAGTACAAACGCGACTTAAAGTACTTAGCTAGATAAGACAATTTGGCTTAAATACTTGTCTTCTGCTTTTTAAGTGGTCACCTTTAACAAAAAATATAAATTAAGTTTGAATTCGATCTTCCTCTTTAATAGCCACAAAGAGTATTATTGTAAAATACGTTGAGTAGGTTGCCTAGCTGTACGGTCCTTATAATTCGACACTACAACAAAGACCACATAATGATCTAAATGTCGCTAAATAAATATTTGTGTACCATTGAATGTTTTATTAAGCGAACAGTTAAAACGGAATCGAAAAATGTGAGAGTCACTTTTTCTCCTTTCTTCACATTAAATTATCGTAAAAGTTTGAAATATACGCTGTCCATCAAAATTGGTTGGTAATATTGGACTGTTACCTAAGACCTCTAATTACAAAAATATCTATATTGTGAGAAGCATTCAAAGGAAAACCTCTTGTTGGCGTAAAGAAGCGAGGAATTTCATTACAATAAATTAAAAAGGCAAAATAATGCATGAGGTATACGTGTGCATTTTATTCCTTATCGACTTTAGAGCTAAGGTATAAATGAAATGGAGATAGTCAAATACTGATAGTAACCATTTACTGGAAAACTATTTGGTTTTTAAATATTTCCTTGGAAATATATCATTTCATCATTTGGAGCATTCTCAGCAAGATAAGGCTTTACTTTAATACCAACCTCCTAGCATACCTGGCCAAAATACACAGTGTTGTAATATAGTCAGGGATACATAAACTAATACGGTGCCATGTAGACCTTACTTGCATCGTTTACTAGTCTAGACCGTCGGAAACCAGTTGGCAGATGCCAAAAGGTATATCTCAAAAATAGGAAGGAAGAAAATCATCCTTTTACTGCTAAAACGAAAATATAGAGAGTTACTTAGCCCCAGTGTGGTCCTCATGTAAAGATTCCCTCCCAACGCCCCTGTTACTGAAGTGCCTTTTCTATCTAAATTTCTGCAGACACAACTAGAAGGCTGTATATGCGTATGATACATTTATGGTTAGTCCTATTCAAAAACATTCAGATTACACATTTTAGATGACGGAGTTTATCAAAAGTTTAATTGCATAGTTGGTGAAATTGTTGAAGGAAATCTAAATAAATCGATAAAACATTTTGAACATCTGTAAGTATCTTTCAAGGTGCTAGAACTTTTTTTAGCGCTAAATGGGGCCTGCTCAATTAGTTTATTATGCTGAACGCCTACTAGTTTTGATTAGTCGTTACTGGCCATCAACAGCAGAAGGTATAAAGGAACATAAGATAGTACACACTTTAATACCTAATTTTTTTAGCATGTACAAAATAGGTTTCAGTAACTTCTAACCAGACATTTAGATAGATATTCTAGTGTTGGTTTACGAGGATTCGATTGGTTTCAGGATTTCATCATGAAGTGACATCGGTTGCAGAAACAGTGAAAAACCTGGAAGTACTGGACGGTTGTTTTGCCTTGGTTTGGGACTCTTCCTCAGTGCTCACTCACGGGGATCCGAACTCAGGACCTTCTGTTTACAAGGCGAGCTCGTAGACCATTGAGCACTGGAACCCCATCCGACTCAAGCTTCAAAAAAATTTATAATTAATTTTAGCCTGTCTTTTTATGGTAAATGAATATTCTATCACCCTAAAATGAATCCAGTATGAACTGAAATAACGCAGGTCGTTCTTAAAAACAGCACTGCAGTTCATGGACGCTTAATTAATTTGACCATTAAACGTCCATGAATTCCGACTTCTGCTAATTCGAGATGTAGTATCCTGAAATCCCTACAAACTCTGAATTAAGCCTACACATTACCTAAAAATTTTATTTGGGAAAAGGCTGCAGCCTTTTCTGTGAAAACACGAAATTCCGTAAGATGCGCAGAAAATTCCACAAGCTACTCTAAATGCCTCGAATTTCTGCGAAATATTTCAAAAACATCCCTAAGATCATATATTGAGGTAGGTCAAATATTTGACAGTTAAAGTGGTGTGAGAAGCAACTTGCCTTTATGTATTTGCTCGTGACAAACGTATCCGCATTTGATACATTGGTGGTGCGGAGTGGCACAATCAATTCTAAATCACAAAGAGTTTCACACCATCGAAAATCTGTTATAGGAATCAACATTTTGATTACTGCGCGTACACGTTGCCATGGGGATTAAAATTCCTGAACAGTTAAATCAATGAGTTGGATTTTATAATTTCCCCCTCATTCATTTTTGAGATCTAAGAACATATCTGGTATTATGTATGATGCATGGTATCAGTGAAGAGTAGAACAAATACCACAGTCAAAGTTTCGTTGACATAACCTACGACAACCGACTGGATCTTTGAAATTTCGAAGCGAATTCACGTAAAACAAGGCGAATAGCACCATAATTATGAATAAAATATACCAAAAGACATACTATGATATAAAATAAGATTTAGGTTAAGCTTAGGAAAGATTAAGTTAAGGTTTAGGTCAAGGACAAATTAGTGTTTGGTAAACCTAATAGGGGAAATATTGTAGCTGGTTCGAGTTCGGGTCAGTTCAGGGATAGTTTTGCGTTAGGGTTTGGTTGATGAAAGCTTATGGTCACGGCAAGTGTTAGAAGAGCCAGATGAATGCCTGTACAACGTGTGATTTAATTACACTCTTGACGTTCGAGTGTAAATTAAGAAGTATTTTTGTCACGTTGATGAAAGTTATCGTTTGCAACAGTCCCGTACCTTTTTGTTCATTGTTTTCATAAATACATGTATTTTATACGTAAAAATCTCCTTCATATCCGTGGCTGAAATTTGGATCTTGAAGTTAAATTTCGCCACTGCAGCATATAACATACTTATTTCATCTGCGAGACATTTTTGCTACTAATGAGCTTTTCTACATAAGGTTATTGGTCAGCTAGTTGAAGCCAGTTGTCTATGTTTGACCTCAAGCGATATATGTAACGATAACCCCATATTTATCACAGATACTTCCAGAAAACACCAACTATGTAGTACGATTTTTGTGGAAGAAATTAACTAAGTTTTGCTTGGAATAAACTTTGTTCATTTTAAACCAATCTCTACTGTACTGTGAAACAGTAAGCCTCATATACAGTAGTCCTAGTAGTCATATTAGTTGGCGATGGAACAACCTGTGTGGAAGCTGAATTTAAGCTCTAAATGCCTATCATACAGTGCCTGGTCTTAAAGGCAATCCTAGAATAAATTAGTTTCATTTCTTATCACAACAGACGAAAGAGCAAATACTTAATCACCACGGGGACTCTTTTCTCTCTTCTATGCTAACGGACTTGTCATGGACCAGTAGCCTCAATTATATCCGCATTTCACTTTCACAATCATGTCAGCGAAGTCGAAAGTATGTGCCTACAGCATTATTATTATTATTCGACTGAAAGCTTAAATGTCCCAACCTTTAAATTCAAAACTGGCTAATAAAATGACCTATCCTTCTGTTTCTCTACAAACGTATTAATCGAAAAGTTACCTAGGCCGATTAGCGTTCTGTGCTAATTCAGGATATGTTCACATTTCTACTAGTTTTAATCCGAACGAAAACTACTAGGTCCTACTTCAGCCAACAATTAAATTTATGAAATTCTGCAGCAGTCACTTTAATGATGATTCTGGAGTGGCAGCCCAACTTAGACATCTTCTTACCAAACGGTTTTTAACCTGATGATGTAGTCTGTTAAGCCAAATACAGATAAAATTTCTTGTAAATCATGCAACAGATGCACTTGTAAAGCAGCCGCTAGTCCACAATCTGTCATTACAGAAGCCCCTATTGACTCCACACAATCTACAATACGTGTGTCTATCCTAGCTGTGGACCACTTTACGGCTCTAAACCAATTTAATGCATACACCATTCATCCAGTGGGCTTACTGCAACTACGAACTAACATAGTCAACAGCTGCCCGTCACCACGAAGTTGAAATCCTTTTATTAACGAAAGTCTCTCGCAAAACACGATATACTCGTTCCTCTGACCTGATATTCAACATTCCTCTAGTGACATTTCTCTACGCCTGATGTCAATCACGTCTCATAAACCGTTAATGCCCAGCTCTTGCTACGCTCGGGCCCACGCTGTTCCTTGAAGTTTTCAGAAACGCTTAGTTATAACGGACGAAAAAACCAAAACACCGATTGGCCGCTTGAGATTTCTTTATTGTTACACCAACATATAAAATTAATAACTGAACTAAGGTCTGTGAACAAATATTACAATAATAAATCATAGTATTACTTCTGACGATGTTTTACTCTTCTTTCTGAACAGCGACCGATGAGACGATGACTGTCGTATAAATGCCTCCGCGAAAATTGGGGAAGTTAATTTTGAGCAAACAACCAAGAATTGATCGTTCAATCTTCAACTCCATTGACACCTGACCTATATTTAATCTATATTAGCAGCCCTGTCAACCCTAGAAGAACTTGGAAGCCTGGATTATGGGCAATTTCACCCAACAGAAAATCACCTAAGGGAGATACTCACAATCAGAATTTATAGAAAAGACAGTCATTTGATTCATAGGGAATTTTCTAAAGCTCCATCATTTCCAAATTATCTATGGAGGAGAGTGTAGGCTTCACCTAAATAAGAGATCAAGGGAACACTGGAGACTATATGGCCGCATAGGAATCTTACTGTGTTACGGCGTCGCCAAGTATAAATACAAATGCTGGCGATAATGAATGCTTGATAATATCCCAGCCAACTATTCCCTGGCCAGGAACTAGCAAATTCGAGAAGGCTTACACAATAGGCTTGGAAACTTGATTACCATAACGAAGCGAGAAGGTGATCAAGAGTACTCCGCGTTTTAATATTGTATGATTGTCAATATTCAAATGTGGCATATTCAAACTGGTCCAATATTTTTTGGAGTTTATAATTCCTGCTGTGGTCTAGCTGCTTGCTTTTCAGCGGAAGATTGGAACAACTCTATCAGTATTATACTGGTGGAATAGACTGATATTTACTTATAGACCTTGGAACTGCAACATTTAAGTCTGGAACCGCCTGAACCCACATAAGCCATTTGGACATCACATAACCAGTGAGCATTAGAGAAACTCTTAAAAAGTAGATTAACAGACTTCAAAAAAGCGTATCTGAAAATAAAATACCTGGACGACATTGCTTACGAGAGTCCCGAAGGGATATGTGAACTGTTCAGAAAACACTTTGCCAGACTGTACAGTGTGGAGAACGATCAAGTTGTGGATTTTCCACACACAACAGACGAATTTCCAAGTTACATACTCTTGACCGCACATGAGACCTCCAAGGGTTTCGCAAATATTACGCTTAGTAATCCCTTTGTCCAGATAACAGATCTTTCATTCTCCTGGAAGACAGTGGTTCTCGGTCACGTCTCAAATGCCGTTAATGCCCAGCTCTTCCTACGCCAGGCCTCTCGCTGTCCCTCGAAGCCTTTCAGAAACGCTTAGTATTAATGGACGCCAAAAACCAGAACACCGATTGGCGACTCGAGAATTCTTTATTCTAACACCAACATATGAACAGCATAATAACTAAGGTTTCTGACAGTTTTTGATCTTCTTTCTGAACAGCGATCGATGAGACGATGACTGGTGTATTGATGCCTCCGCGAAAATTGGGGAAGTTGGTTTTGAGCAAACAACCAAGAATTGATCGTTCAATCTTCAACTCCATTGACACCTGACCTATATTTAATCTATATTAGCAGCCCTGTCAACCCTAGAAGAACTTGGAAGCCTGGATTATGGGCAATTTCACCCAACAGAAAATCACCTAAGGGAGATACTCACAATCAGAATTTATAGAAAAGACAGTCATTTGATTCATAGGGAATTTTCTAAAGCTCCATCATTTCCAAATTATCTATGGAGGAGAGTGTAGGCTTCACCTAAATAAGAGATCAAGGGAACACTGGAGACTATATGGCCGCATAGGAATCTTACTGTGTTACGGCGTCGCCAAGTATAAATACAAATGCTGGCGATAATGAATGCTTGATAATATCCCAGCCAACTATTCCCTGGCCAGGAACTAGCAAATTCGAGAAGGCTTACACAATAGGCTTGGAAACTTGATTACCATAACGAAGCGAGAAGGTGATCAAGAGTACTCCGCGTTTTAATATTGTATGATTGTCAATATTCAAATGTGGCATATTCAAACTGGTCCAATATTTTTTGGAGTTTATAATTCCTGCTGTGGTCTAGCTGCTTGCTTTTCAGCGGAAGATTGGAACAACTCTATCAGTATTATACTGGTGGAATAGACTGATATTTACTTATAGACCTTGGAACTGCAACATTTAAGTCTGGAACCGCCTGAACCCACATAAGCCATTTGGACATCACATAACCAGTGAGCATTAGAGAAACTCTTAAAAAGTAGATTAACAGACTTCAAAAAAGCGTATCTGAAAATAAAATACCTGGACGACATTGCTTACGAGAGTCCCGAAGGGATATGTGAACTGTTCAGAAAACACTTTGCCAGACTGTACAGTGTGGAGAACGATCAAGTTGTGGATTTTCCACACACAACAGACGAATTTCCAAGTTACATACTCTTGACCGCACATGAGACCTCCAAGGGTTTCGCAAATATTACGCTTAGTAATCCCTTTGTCCAGATAACAGATCTTTCATTCTCCTGGAAGACAGTGGTTCTCGGTCACGTCTCAAATGCCGTTAATGCCCAGCTCTTCCTACGCCAGGCCTCTCGCTGTCCCTCGAAGCCTTTCAGAAACGCTTAGTATTAATGGACGCCAAAAACCAGAACACCGATTGGCGACTCGAGAATTCTTTATTCTAACACCAACATATGAACAGCATAATAACTAAGGTTTCTGACAGTTTTTGATCTTCTTTCTGAACAGCGATCGATGAGACGATGACTGGTGTATTGATGCCTCCGCGAAAATTGGGGAAGTTGGTTTTGAGCAAACAACCATGAATTGATCGTTCAATCATCAACTACATTGACACTCCCCGGCAAAATGGGATCCATCCCTTTTTTCCTTCACGACCAATACACGTTGACTTGGATGCCATTGCGGGAACCTGGGTCACACGGACAGAGCTGAAATGGAAAACAAACAGAAAAGCCAACACACCACAAGCATACCCACAGCAC